TGCAAAAGTAGGCTTACACTGAAGATTTCAAAACATTACGCAAGAAAGCCTTAATTAAAGTGATTTAGATGAATATTACTGCTACATGGAAAAAACCACATAATACGCATAGGTAGGAGTTGTCTATGAAATTTTAATTATTTTGCCTAGTTCTGTATATAAGTCGTCTGAAGTTTCACTTTTGTGACCCTTTTGTATACCTGTATTTCGTACTCTATTTACCAGTTATTTTAAATTAATATTCAGTAATTTACTTTAATATTAAGGCATGCTTTGTATTCAATGAATGTTTTACCTTGTCATTTACACCAGATATGAAGTCTAAGTTATTTGCAGCTTATATTCTGTATCGTTGAAATTCACACCAGGTGTAAAGTGTAAGTTATTTGAAGCTTACATTATGTATCGTTGTAATTCACACCAGATATAGAATAGGTTCTTTGCAGCTTATATTTTGTATCGTTGTAATTCACACCAGGTGTAGACTGTAGATTTTTTGCAACTTATATTCTGTATCGTTGTAATTCACACCAGGTGTAAAGTGTAGGTTATTTGCAACTTATATTCTGTATCGTTGTAATTCACACCAGGTGTAAAGTGTAGGTTATTTGCAACTTATATTCTGTATCGTTGTAATTCACACCAGGTGTAAAGTGTAGGTTATTTGCAACTTATATTCTGTATCGTTGTACTTCACACCAGATGTAAAGTGTAAGTTATTTGAAGCTTATATTATGTAGCGTTGTAATTCACAACAAATGTAAAGTGGCTCGGTATGGCCAGGTGGTTGTGGAGCTTGATTCACGATCTGAGGGTCGCGGGTTCGAATCCCCGTCCCACCAAACATACTCGCCCTTTCAGCCGTGGGGGAGCTATAATGTGATGGTCAATCCCACTATTCGTTGGTAAAAGAGTAGCCCACGAGTTGGCGGTGGATGGTGATGACTAGCTGCCTTCCCTTTAGTCGCTAACTGTTAAATTAGAGACGGCTAGCGTGAATAAACGATTTAGATTGTCTATCCCGAAACTAACTTTGTTAAATTTCAACGTCTTTCCACCGATTCATTGATTTTCTGCGTGAATTTTATATTATGTTGAAAAATTAGATAAAAATTCCGGAAAATAAAATTGCAATACCCGAAAACCGAAAGAAACACAAACTAGGCTTAAAAGAACACGACACAATACGTGTTGTAAACAAAGTTCACGAAATTCCTTCGAACCTCATTTTATAAGTTTGTAATCGTTTCAAGCTTTCCATTATTTTTGTCATAAACTGTAATACGTGCTAGTAAACTTACGTTCACATTCCGGGTTTTGTTGGACTGGTTGTTGTTTTAAACCTGTCTCCATTACTGCGTTTACGGTACAAGACAGATGTTGAAGTACACAGCTGAAAAATATGTAAAATGTAAACTAACAACAGATAATTTTCAGTGGTCCATCTGCGTACTAAAATGAAGCGTCACATATTGAACCAATACTGTATAATTATATACAGAAGCAGATGTCGTAATAGCTCGCAATTCCCCCTCCCCCCACCTTTTCCTTGTAGCATTGAACGATTGTTTATATTTACAAAAACATCCAAAAAAGTACAAACAAACGACAACAAAAATAAACAAACGAAACCATATCTCAGTCATTTGACAGTCCTTCAAACAGCCTGAAATAACGGTGATGTCTCGTGGTAGGTGAATATACAATGAATTATTGTTTATCGTTCAGAGAAACATTGGAAAAGCAATCGTGTAACTACGCATGCACAGTATATAGTTAACTACGGATCATATTCGTTTTGATTTTTTTTTTAAATAAAATATTTTATTAAATGCGCTATTTAGTAAAGATGGGACAATTATATATATATGTATAAGTAAAAGATAGGAGGCCAAATATTTTAATTTCACATCAGAGCGTCTTGTTCTTGAATGCTTTACTTGTACAGTTTCGTCGGGGGTCTTTTACAATCGTACCAAAGCGTATGGTTCAGTGTATTTGAGCGAATATGTATCACTTAAAGCGGAGGGTATTATATCTTTATCTACATAAATCTAAAAACAGCAGACGTGTTCTTTGTTTGTTTGTTTGTTCTTAAGCACAAAGTTACTCAAATGGGATATCTGTGTTGAGGCCATCGCAAGTATCGAAATCCAATTTCTAGCGTTGTAAGCCTCCAGAGTTGCTGCTGGACCACCAGGGGGCAGTAGAAATAAGTGGCTTTACTTACTAGGTTTAAAGTTCCATATTGTTCAAGTAACATAGTTTAAAACCTTGTATAATTTACACTCAAGTATTAGTAAGTACTAGAACTAGGATTAAAAATTTCAGCTTCACAGGCCCCTGTGCCGAATAACGGGATTGACTGTCACTTTTATAACACGTCTACAACTGAAAGTACGGAGCGTGTTCGGCAGCATTACGTCTCGAACTTCAGACTCTTCACTTTGCAGCTTAACAATTTAATCATTAGGCCACGTCAGCCAGTTAATAAGCTATATAAAAAAAGCAAGACCGAATATACGACCAAACATCATCGAAGGTATAAACGGTGCATACCTGCAACAGATCATTCTTTACCAGATTTTTTTTTTCGTGAAGAAATTATCTGTTAGAAAAAAGATTTATTTCGGTGTTTTTATAACATAATTACTTCAAGGATGTTTCTGGGATTGGGGGAAGGCTAAATATCAGACTTAATAATCATTGTACTGATATATATATATATATTTGCCCGGCATGGCCAGGTGGTTAGGGCGCTCGACTCGCAATATGAGGGTCGC